CCAGCACCTCACCACTCCCTCTGTAAAGAACTTCCCCCTGACATCCAACCTAAATCTTTCCCCCTTCAACTTCAAACCATTTCCCCTTGTCCTGCTGTTATCTACACTTGTAAAGATTTGGCACTGTGAAACTCACAAAGTAACTGGGAGCAAGGAAAACTGCAATAACAGCACTCTGCACTTCAGTATTCAATGCATTTTACAAAAAATAACTGTATTATTCCTATTTTGCAAGTGTGGAAGGTGATGCCACTTGAGGAAGTGCATTGTCAGAACAAAGTGGCTGGAGAATGATGTGGGGGAAGACCACACAGGGAAGAGCAGAGTGGGAGTGAGGCCCATTCCACAGGGGCCATTCCACAGAGCTGCTCCCATTGCTGCTATTGCCATGGCAAAGCTGGCCTGCCAAACAACCATAAATGTGCTACATAAAATTCCATCCCCTCATTAGAGAACCCCTCCTTGTGAATCACTGTCTTAAGTGTTTGGATCTCTTTTTTCCTTCCAAATGACAATATTTAAACAGGATCTCAAGCTGGCTTGTACAATTATGCTGTGATAGCAGCATTGCTACCAGTTTCACATTGTCAGAGTGCTTAGAGTGGTCTCATCAATGTGATATAAGAAAGATAAGCTAAAACATGCTTTGTTGCAAAAATATCTGCGATAAGAAACAAAGGTATTACAACAAACACTGGAAATTACACATTGGGAAGGGATTTTATTTTCAAAATCAGGTGCTTGGATATCCACATGATAAAAGAAAAAAGAAGCCACAATATTGCCTATAACAATTTAATTTTGAAAATAAATTAATCAAGTGATTCTTCCTGTAGCCTCTATAAATTGGCAATAGCACTGGTTTGGACAACTTGTCCTGAAAAAGAGCTCATTATAACTAATTGGACTTACTGCATAGTAAAGAATTGTATGCTAAAATTATGAATTTTATGTCCAATTAGAAAAATACTCAGTGGTGTTCATTACTTGATTCCAGTGGTGGATGTCTGCCAGGATACATTTAACTAAAATGTGCATTTGGGTTAGGTTAATACATTTTGAGAGCAGAATCGGGTCTGACAACAGAGAAGTCATCTATTAGAAGCAGTAACTCAAAGATCACAGCAAAACTGCTTGTTAAAAAAATCATAAATTTGGGAAAACATCAACGTTTATGGAAATTTATTATATCTGATTTAAACAGATGGCTTAGCAGAAGAGGTGAGGATTTCTTAAGAGCTTGTGACTTGACCATGGTGAATCAAAATGATTGAACACATGTCTCAAAGTGCAAAATATAGCTTATATCTTTCCCTACAATCAAAAGCAAAGACAAAATACACACTTAAATGATGCGCAGGTGAAATAAGAGCACCTATATATGCACTGCTTACAATTATAGAATCATAGAATCACAAAATCACCAAGGTTGGAAAAGATCTCCAGTCCAATTGTCCACCTAACACAGTATTTCCCCACTAAACAATGTCCCTTAGTACAGCATCTCAATGTTTCTTGAACACCTCCAGGGACAGTGACTCCACCACCTCTCTGGGCAGCCCATTCCAGCTCCTAACCACTCTTTCAGAGAAGGAATTTTTCCTGATATCCAACCTCAGCCTTCCTGGAGCAACTTGAGGCCATTCCCTCTAGTTCTATCACTAGTTAAGCAAGAGAAGAGGCTGACCCCCATCTCCTTTCAGGCAGTTGGAGAGAGTGATAAGGTCTCCCAGAGCCTACTCTTCTCCAGACTGAACAATCCCAGTTCCCCCATCTGCCCCCCATAAAACTCATGCTCTCAGTCCCTCACAGCTTTGTTGTCTTTTTCTGGACACACTCCAGGACCTCAGTGTCTTTCTTGTAGTGAGGGGCCCAAAACTGAACACAGCACTTGAGGTGCGGCCTCACCAGGGTCGAGTACAGAGGGATGATCACCTCCTGCTCCAGCTGGCCGCACTATTGCTGATGCAGACCAGGATGCCACAGGTCGTCTTGGTCACCTGGGCACACTGCTGGTTCACGTTCAAATTCTCAAATGTTTTCTTTCTCTGGATCATAATTATTCAGATCAAAATTGAAAAATTGAGGATTGAAAACTGATTGAATGTCCACCTCTAGACAGTGGCACAAAAAAGTCTGTGCCAGTAATGAGCGAAGTACCCCGAAGGTCAATACTGGATCCAGTCCTGTTTAACATCTTTGTTAATGATCTGGATGAAGGGGGTAGAGTGCACCCTCAGTAAACCCAGACATGACACAGAACTGGGAGGAGTGGCTGGTTCACCAGAGGGCTGTGCAGACGTCAAGAGAAACCTTGACATGCTGAAGAGGTAGGCAGGCAGGAACTCCTGAAGTTCAACAAGAACTGCAGAGTCCAGCATCTGGGGAGGGACAACCACAGGTAGCAGAACATGTGGAGTACACCCAGCTGGAAAGCTGCTCTGCAGGGAAAGGCCTGGAGATCCTGGTGGGCACCAACTCAACATCAGCCAGCAGCGTGGCCTTGCTGCTGAGAAGGCTGATGTTGTATAATTCTGTCTCATTTATCACAAAACAACATTTATTTAATGTGGTGTAAAATTTAGCTTTGAGCAGAGGATTGAGCAATAGACCTACACACAATGACAAGTGCTGATTGGCCTCGTGTACATAAAATTTAACCTTGGTCATTCTCCTTCATCCAGAATATAACACTGTCTGGCACTGATTCATGCCTAGCTGCTATTTGCTACCTGCAGTGGAATGAGCTGTCTGACCAGCCAACCCAGTCTGCGTGAGAGGAAGCTGATAGATGGCATGCAATAGGGCTTTATTTGTTCCTCAGTATGTGTTTACCCTGCATTACAGAATATCTATTTGTCAAATATTAATTGAATTCTCCAACATTTGGCATATTTGCATAACTATTATGAAATGAAGCATTATCTCCCTTGGCATTATATGCATTTCCCTTAGATGGTGTCTCTTTGATCCATTAATCATGTTTCCTGTATCCTCCCACTGAAGCTTAATTGCACACATCCTACAGAACCCACTCACAAAGAAAGAAATTAGCTCTATGTAAATCTAAGGTTATTACTTCGCATCTATAAACGTGAAACGATTGAACTATCCTCTAAAAAGGACAGCAATAAAATTATAGATGAGCAACAATCACTTAAGGAAGCAGATTGAAGTAATTTTATTGGGCCGGTGGGAAAGAATGGTTTTCCTTTGCCAAGGACGTTACAGGGGCAAATAATACTGCTGTCCTTGTCTTTCTCCACTACTGCTTCTGTCCCCTTTAATGATTTCTTTGTTACTTTATTATCGGAAACAAAACGCCTGATCCAACAGAAGCCTCCAGTTGTGAGGCTGATGTAGGATCACATGGGTCGGTACATCAGTTTCCCATGCAGCTCCCAGGCATTACTGAGCACTCAAGGTATGAGCCAGGGATGTCAGAACACTTACAGGCAGCCACTTAAAGTCAAAGCTGCAGCTACCTAGCACTACTTGATAGAAACTACTGTCACAAGGAATACACCTTCAATCCGCCCTCTCACACCTGCAGGAAGATGCTTTTCAGAAAATATGCCCTTGTTTTCATTTGGCTACTAAATACAGAAATCCACATCTTCATAAAAAAAAAGTTCGTCAAAGCTCCTTTTTTCCCTCCTAACAGGAGCAGACAGGAGGAACAACACTTTGGTGGTTACAGCCCTTGCAGAGGGAGCAGATTCATGTTTTTCCATGCAGCTCAGAGCCACATTTCGCAGAGATGTTCTAACCATCAGGTATATCTCTTTCTAGGAAAGGAAGCTGGTGAGGATTGTCTGCCTCTTCCTGTGAAACCATGCCACTGTGCCAGAAAATATATGTACTATTAATTTTGCCATGGAGAGATTGAGCAGCTGACTCTGAAATCAGGTTGTTCTGATAAAACACGGAAAATGGGAGGTCTGGTCTCTAATCATCTCTTCTGCCCAACAAAAGTGTTGTTCAGAACTGCTGACATCAGAACAACTTGAGCATGTAAAAACAAGACTAGAAGTTTGGAGACTTTTAGGATTAAAAAAATTCTAAGTTCTTCTAGTCTTCAGCAGTTTAGCAAGGCTTACCAAGATTAGGATTCTGGAGCTCAGTTGCATTTATCAGATTAAGGCCTAAGAGACTAAGCTGAGAATACCTGCTCTAAAATCTATGATCTCCCAGAAAACAAACTCAGACTCCAGTTTGCCAAGTTAGCATCTAAGTCGTGAACCAGCTTCTCTTACAGATTTTCCTCTCTCAGGTGATGCTACATTTACCTCAGCCACTAGAGATGCTTTGTTCTTTGATCTCTCCTTGAATCCTCTAATATTTAGCAAAGAATCGTTTCCCTGTCTGTAGAGATGTTAGTTTCCATTACAAAGAACAAAACAGAAGCAAGAAGAACCAATATATCACTGTTACATATTCACTGCTTTCTTTAAAATACTACTTTGCTCACTTGCAGTTTTTTTTCCAAGTCCCTCATCCTGGTGCAAATCCATTCTCATGCCTTGTAAATTTTTCTTTACTTACTTTTCTTGACTTTTCAAGGTTCTCTGAGACATATTCCTTCCATAAAGCCTTTTAATGACTCCATTTACACAATCAGTTTCTTTCTACTAAAGAAAACATCAAAGATAATTTGTGATAGGATGGTAACTTGGTATATCGCAGGTCTGTCTGATCATATAGTCTGTTTGATTCAGACTGTGGGCCTTGATCAAACCAGGATCAACTCTTTTCTCCATGAACATTTTGCTGGTATTTCACAAAGAATATCATGGTACTTTAATGGATATCTGAGGATAATGACAGGTACACTTTTGAGAGGAACCCATATTCTGTATCTCACTCTGTATTTCAACCAGTGTGGAAGATGCCAGTGATGGCAGAAACCAGCAGCTGGGAAATGGAGCACCTTGCACGTAGCTTTCATTGACCTATGTGTAAATGACTACTGAGACATTCAAAGGTATTCTGATCAAATCCTTTCATCACTTATTAAACTGACCACAGCTGAACAGTTACTCTTCTTTTTTCCTTTTAACATCATCCACAACCTTTAACGTGTTCTTTGATGATTTGTAGACCTAAAGCCTACAAAATGTTCTTATATTAATTTTATTGCTTACAGTACAGCATTTGGATGTTCTTCTGAGAGAATATGAGGCTTGTGAAGACACTTTTCAATATACACTTAATGTGCTGGACAATGCCAAGGGAGAATTCACGCCAAAAGGCATTATCCAGTTTCTGATTCCCTCTGCTAGTCTTCCTATGTATAACAAACATAAGCAATCAAATGGAGAAGGTAAGTAGTATAAAGCAAGTCAGTTTAGGTTGGAGCAATAGTAGCAGTTTTTGTTTTATTTAGTTTTCTTTTAGCCTGTAGCATCTTTCTAATGACTAGAAACTGCATGTGGGGAATCTATACAGTCGCTATTTTAGTATGGCACTAGAATGTGTAACTCTGCAGCCTTCTTACATGACAAGGAGCATAATAATGAAAGTTACTCTTCCTCAACTGTCAAGAAAATTTATTTCAAAATCAGTCTCGGGCAGAGACTATCGTAGGCTGTGCCTGCATGGGCTGCACACACTGTATTAGTCAGTCTCTAAAATGAAGATCTGCTTTTTCTTTTTGTTAGGAACCATCTGTCTTTGCAAAGTTTACATATAAAAATTGTGCTTAATTCAAACTGTTTAACAAAAACACATTGTTATTTTGAGATAGTATTAAATGGAGGATTGCAAACCTTTGTAAAAGCACATCCTGTTAGTTCCTGGTGGTCATGATAATTAGATATTCATTGTTAAGTGCTAAAAAAGATGAAACAGCATGACAAAAGTAATCACAGATCAACAAAATGAAAAACAAAATGAACCATAGGAAACATTTAAGAGCATATGATAATATGCTATGTGACACTGAGGAATGCTGAATGCAGAGAATAGCCAATTCAAACTGAGTGAAGCTCTTCTTTTATTCAGATACTTCAGTAATCAGCAAGAAGGAGACAAGAAACAAAAAACTGCATTACCGTCTAATGAGGTGTTGGAGCTCTCGGGTGGGGTGTGAGGGGGAGTAGTGTCTGAATATGACACTTTCTTTAGAGCTCTTCTTTCAGAGTTTATGAAGGAGAACACTGAATTCTTGCAGAGTGCCAAGTCCTGCCAAGGGTGAGCTGTCAGGTGGTTGTACTGTTCCATTAGCAGATCTCAGACAGCCTTTTCTGCTAAAAAGGCAGAAAAGCCTGCAAAGACCATCCTTCCCCCATAAGAGTGAGGGACATAGCAGCCAGCAAAGAATTTATAACGTAGAAAGAAGCAAGCACCCCTATGTGGTAATAAGAGATAAATCTGTGCTGGTCTATTCATCATGCCCATGAGCAGGGAATCTGTTCTCTCAGATTGACCTTAGATCCAAAAAACAGAGCATACCAAGACAACGTATCTGTGCCAGCATCTCTCGCGGTGGTTCATAGGTTGGTCAAACAAATGCTCTCTGCAGTACGGAATTATGGATGGTCTTGCACTTCAAAGCCATATTCCAAGATAGCTGACGGCCTGTCCTGGAAATAAATTCAGATTTCCCCCTAACTATTTTGCAAAGTTGTAGATAACTCTTCTAAGTACATTTCTTTATCCGTAGGAGAAATATGACTGGTGGTTCATATGTGCCCAGCTGCCCATATCACTGCATCACTACACAGCTTGTATAAAGGGAACACATATACTTCCAAAGAGGAAAGAATTAACATTAGCCTGTAATATTGTAATTCAAACAGGTGTATTAAAACATGGAAAGCATTACCATATTAAAATAGCTGCTAAATCTCTGTTTTTAAGTTTATGTATGAAAATTAAGGGACAGAAGAAATAATTCTGAAGTGTGTTGACTAGAAAACACCTTTGAAATAAAGTTCTTATCCAGTACACGTAGGTTTCATAACTTTTTTTTTTTTTCTTCTAGAGCATATATTTGACCTCTTTCACATCTTATAAGAGGGCTATAAAATCTATAATCTCATTTACTCTCTTAATAGACTGTCTTCAATTTTTTTTTTTTACCTGCTGACCTGCAGGATAAAGCTATTTAGAAGAGCTGTTATTGTGGAGAGCACTGCAAATGAAAATGCTGAAGGACAAAAAAATCCAATAAGGATACTGGAAAATACATTTGGAAGGACACTGTTTAAGTTTAATGTATTCAATACACATACTGTGAAACATCTGGTTGTCTTTAAGGTACAATCAGGTATTAACTTTGTAACCAGCTATTACAGGCAATAGTTTGCAGCAAGTTGCTTCATAGAAAGCAAATGATCTCCCTAAATGATCCCATAGCACAGAAGTCTTTGAATAAGAAGGCAATTCAGCACTATATAACTGCTGTGTAACCACTTCTTCCTAAGCAAGTTGGAATTCCTATTCCTATTTGGAACAGGCTGCCCAGAGATGGTGGAATCACTGTCCCTGCAGGTGTCCAAGAGCCGTGGAGATGTGGCACTGAGGGGTGTGGTGTGTGGGCTGATGGTTGGACATGGTGGTCTTAGTGGCCTTTTCCAACCTTAATGCTTCTACGCCTATGTCTTCTGTTTTGCAGTCCTTCAATTTTCAGTGTGTTTCATGCGCAGCCATGCATCCACATACACCAATACCACGTAAGTTTTATGAAGTAATCTTAACCCTGCTGACTTGGGTCCTGTAGGGCACAGTACAGTGGGTTACTGTGCTGGTTAGCTGGTAGTAAAAAGTTACTTTTTCCTGTCTCTAGGGAAAGCTGCTGTAAAAAGCAGTCATATTTTGCACTAGCATTTAAAGGGGTCCTAAAGCATAGATAGGGAAAAATTCTTAATCAGGGAGAACAGCGTTAAGAAAATGACTTTAAACTAAAAGAGGGGAGATTCAGGATAGATTTTAGGGGGAAATTCTTCACTCTCAGGGCAGTGGGGCCCTGGCACAGCTGCCCAGAGAGCTGTGGTGCCCCATTCCTGGAGCTGCTCAAGGCCAGCTTGGATGGGCCCTGGGCAGCCTGAGCTGGTGGGGGCAACCAGCCCATGGCAGGGGTTGGGGCTGGGTGGGCTTTGAAGTGTCTTCAGACTGGAGAAGAGGAGGCTCAGGGGAGACATTACTGCTCTCTATAACCACCTGAAGGGAGGTTGTAGTGAGCTGAGGGTCGGCTTCTTCTCGTGTAACTGGTGATAGGACCAGAGGGAATGGTTTCAAGCTGTGCCAGGGAAGACTCAGGCTGGATATTAGGAAATACTACTTCTCTGAAAGAGTGGTCAGGCACTGGAATGGGCTGTCCGGGGAGGTGGTGGAGTCACTGACCCTGGAGGTGTTCAAGGAACGTTTGGATTTTGTGTTGAGGGACATGGTTTAGTGAGTACTATTGGTGATAGGTAGATGGTTGGACTGGATGATCTTGTAGGTCTTTTCCAACCTTCGTGTTTCTGTGGTTCTGTGATTCTATGAAATACCCACACAACCTCTCCAACCCTGGGGAAGCGCTGCACGACGCAAGGCGCGGCGCCATCGCGCATGCGCACCGCCAACCTTCACGTAGCGTCTCGGCGAGCGGGAAGTGGAGAGGAGCGCATTGCGCGTGCGCAGAGTTGGAGACCCGCCGGGGCTCTCGGTTTCCCGCCGCGCTCGCGCTGATTGGCTGCCGGCGGTGTCGCGGGAGGCGGGAGCTGCGGGCCGTTGGGCCCTGAGGCGGTGTGCGGCCGGGCCGTGCCGTTCCGTGCCTTTCTTTTCTTTTTTTTCTCCTCGTCGGTTCTCTCCAGCCGTCTTGTGCCCGGTTCCAGGTGACCGTGAAGGCTCCGGGCAGGGCTCTCTGGCAGGGGGGTGGGTCTCCCGTTAACCCTGACGTTTTGCGGTCCTGTGGGAGGGCTGCGGGCTCGGCGTGAGGGGGGAATGCGTTCGCGAGCAGCCTGCCTTAGTTCGGTTTGCTGCGTGCTTCCTCGCTGCTTTCTGCCCAGTCAGGGTTGTGCTGGCGGGTTGCTTTTTTTTGGCCCATGATGTCAGAGGCAGATATTGGTGGGATGGCAGCAGAGGGTGAACGTTCCCCTCAGTGTCCCTTTACATTTTGTTGCTGTGTGACAAATGGCAGCAGGGGGACAGTCTGACAAAATGGTGTCCTCCATGTGGAAAATATGGCACCTATTGGCATTCATTGGTGCTTGCTGAACCTTTTATGGAGACCAAACAGTGGATGTGAGCACAGTGAGGCATTGCTTGGTGCATTTCAGCAGTGGCAACACTGGGTCACCTCTACTCGTGCAGGTTTTTATGAGTGTGGCATGCAGGCTCTTGTTGATCACTGATGAAAACACACAATTAATGGCGGTGATTGTGTTGAAAAATACTTTTTTATAGACGAGAATTTGCTCTATCGAATTGCGCTCTTTGTATTGGTTGTAGTTTCTTTGGAAATAACAGGAGGCATTATTTTTGGGGCAACTTATGTATATGCAGCGCTGTTCAATTCCTCTTTACTCGGTGAGGCCCAGGCAAAGCCAGGGGGTTGAACACCCATGGGCTGGGGGCTGATCTGCTGGAATAGAGCTCTGAGGAGAAGGATCTGTGTGTCCTGGTGGGCCATGAGCCAGTGCTGTGCCCTGGTGGCCAAGGCAAATGTATCCTAGGGTACATCAAAAAGAGCTTGACCAGGAGGTTAAGGGAGGTAATCCTTTACCCTTTTACTCTGCCTTGATGAGGCCACATTTGGAGTGGTGTCCAATGCTGGGCTCCCAAGTTCAAGAAAGGCAGAGAAATTTTAGAGTCTGGAGGAAGGCTGCAAAGGTCATAATGGGCCTGGAGCATCTCCTGCATGAGGAAAGGCTGAACGATCTGGGGCTATTCTGCCTGGAGGAGGCTGAGAGGAGATATTATCACTGTTTATAAATACCTAAAGAGCAGGAGTTAAATGGATGGGATGAGGCTCTTTGCAGTGGTGCTTGGTAACAGGACAAGAGGATATGGGCTAAAGCTGGAACACAGGAAGCAAGGAATCTCCTTTTCTGCAGATATTCATGACCCATCTGGACACTTCACTGTGCAAACTGCTGTAGGGAGCCTGCTTTAGCAGTGAGGTGGAATCAGTGATCTCCAGAGGTCCCTTCTAACCCCTGTGATTCTGTGAAACTTGATTTGTACCTCAGCAGCTGAATAAGGGGCAGCTGGCAGGAACCACAACCTTTTGTCCCTGTTTATCCTGTACTGAACCTTGGGAACTTTGGGCTGCAGTTGGCTATGTGAACAGTCTCTGATTCTTACATCTTGCTATTGTTATGCTAATATTTCAGTATAAGTCAATATAAGACCTGGCCAGCCTGCTTTATCTGTGTGGAGAGGGTTGTGGTAACTTTTTGGCTTCCACGGACTGGAATGGTGCTTGTTATTCACTTTCAGGTGTGACTTTTTAGTGCGCGGTGTAGACTGTAATATTGTTGCGATGTTTGTTACATAGAGTCACTGAACCATAGGAGCTGGAAGGGACTTTGGGGATCATGAAGTCCAGCTCCCCTTGTAAAGCAGGTTCCCTATGGTAGATTGTATGACAGAATAGTTCATGGAACTGCCTTTTGTGGCTGGCAGAGCTGTTGGATACAAATGGAACAGGCATGAACAGTTGTAGCTCCTACATTTGTAGCTCATACTCTTAGTACCTTGATAGTTTTGTAAGATTATGGTAATATGTTGTTTGGGTTTTTTTCCTACCTTATAGCTATCTTGTGTTACTTATACCCAAATCTCTGTTTTCTGTTATCCTATAGAAATTGATTATTCTTTGTTTCTGAAGATGAAGAGGAAAGCGTCAAAAGTTGGGAAACTGAGGCTTAGTCCTAATGAAGAAACCATGCTTCTGAAAGAAGAATATGAAAGAAGAAGAAAGCTGAGGCTGCAGCAAGTATGCTTTCATTTTTGCAAGTTGTCTGTTTTGAAAAGGAAAATAAGTTTTATTTCATATAAGCTAGCATCTTCACTGTAATAATATGAGGTTTAGATTTAGCTTGTGAATTATTTTCCATTGCCATATTTATTTACACGTATGTGTGTATTTCTATTGTGGGTACCTTCTCAGTTTGTTACATTCACATGGGCCTCTGTTCCAGAACTACTGCTTCCCTGCCAACTGCACTGTGGTTTCACGTGTTCGTTTGTTGGCAGTCAGCATGCAGGTCGTTCTGATGTTTCACATAGCGGAGCACAAATAAGCCAGCTGAGGCAAATACAGAACTGAACAGCTTTCCACTTGATCAACTGAATTGTTATGATGTTGCGGCTCTTGATGCTTTAAATATTGCTCCTTTTAGAATTGAGTGCCTGTTCATTGTCTTATTTTTCTTCATTTTTGTTATGCTGTGTTGCTGTAAGGGCACAAGGCTATTTTTCCTTTTTTTTTTTTTTTTTTTAATATATTTCTTTCCTTCCCCAGCCTTCCTCTGTGCTGTCCTGTACAAGCTGTCCCAGTCTTTCCTACCTTCAAAAATCATATACACTAACATTCTTTAAGATGTCTTTTTTCTTGCATGTACTTCTGTTCAGAGAAGAGAGTTTTACTGACAAAGGTGGAGAACAAACTTAGTAAGCAAGCTTTAATTGGGCAGTACGGTTCCGAGTTTCTTTAAAGTGTGTTGTGTTGTAAAAAGTCTTTAAGTTATTGTGTTGTAGTTTTGTCAGGAAGGCTGTTCCAGGCAGTTTTTGCATTTTGTATGTCTACTGTTTGTTCCTCGTTCATTTTAAGCTCTTAATGAAGATTAAATTTAGAATATATTATTCATTTTGGAAAAGGCTAATAGCAAATTTAAGGCATCTTCTGGATAGATTTTTAATGTAAAAGTAGGTAAGTGGAAAGATAGAAAAGTAGAATGTGTTATGGAAATACTTGTTAAAAAACATACTGCACCCTTTAATGTTACTGACAAAACGTGATTTCTATTTCTGCAGGTCAGAGAGCAACAGAAGTATATATCCTTGCAGATAAGACAGAAAGTAAAGCAGAGGAGGGAAGAGAAGCTGCATCAGTTAGAGGAGGCACTGAGAGCTGAATGGCAGAAAGCACAAGAGGAGAAGATGAAGGCTTTAGAAAAACTGTTTTTATCGAGCTTAAGAGCTGTTGGTGAGGGTCACCGACAAGCCAAGGAGAATGTAAGTAAACAGCTTAATGTTGTTGTCATAGAAATACTCAGTGTTCTAGAAGTACTGAGATTGCCTGTTTTTTGGTTGGTTTGTTGTTTTTTGTTTGTTTGTTTTAATATTCCTGGTCTTTGAGTCTGAGGAATGAAGAATGGAATGTTTACTTTTGCAGATGTTTATCCATGAGACCGTGCTTGGTGAGAAGGAATGTGACTTTTTGTCGGGAAAGATTTAGAGCAGCACTGCTGCTGGTGGGAGATCCTTATTCTCTGTTTAGGCATAGATGACCTACTGAATTATTTTTAGAAGCCTGTTTGAGTCTGTAGGTTTTGCGTATAATTTTTCCAGGAGCTTTGTACAACTTTCTGTGTTTGGAAAATTAAATGTCCCAGCAGACCAACCTGCTGCAGCTTTTGCTGTGCAAATCCTGAATTATGTATGTATGATTCAACCTTTGTTAGCATGGTAGTGTACGTTAGGTAACTGTGGTACTTGACTACATTGCACAAGGTGAGTTGGTGTCTCAGATGTGCCAGTCACTGCCTAACCTTTTGTCTCTACCATCTAGCAGTTACCCTTCTATGCTTAAGAAGACAAATTCAATTTTTTTTTTTTGTTCACTTCTTTAGATCTCCAGCCATAAGTATTGTTAAGGGCTTCAGAGGCTTTTGCACAGGCTGCAGACTGTGTTACTTTTCCATTCTGCAGCTGTAAACTAAACTGTCTTTGTTTCAAATTCTGCCTGTGTAGACTCAGTTTGAGGGACTGCTGAGGTTGCTGGGTGAAAATCCATAGATTTGCACTGATACGTAATAGTTTTAATTAATGGCTAAGAGATAGTAAGGTGCTTTATCTTCACAGATTAATCAGCATTACTAAGATGTGCAGGTATGTTTATATTACTGTTGTTATGAGGAGATTAAGAGAGATGCTAAGAATTCCAAATCAGTATTTGGTTACATTGGCTGAGGCAAGTTTTCTGCTGTTGGCAGTAGACAAGAGGAGAATAAAGAAGATAGCAGAGGAGAAAAAGTGATTATTAAGAGAATTTTTACTCTAATACGGTGGGGAAGAATTTCAGGTTTCTGGTTCCTACTAAAGTATTTAATTTTGAACTTGATACTGATAGTATGAGAAGTAAATAAAATTGTGTGTTAAATGCTTGCAATATCCTTATTGTTAAGGAACCTGATTTAGAAGCCCTGGCAAAGCAAGCAGAGGAGAGGAAGCAAAAAGCAGAGAAGAGACATAAGAAAGCACTGAAAGAGCAAAAGTTGCAGAAAGAGAAATTACTTCGTGAACAAGCCCGGTATGCAACAGTTATTTAGTTTCATGAAGCACAGAGTGTACTTCAATGGTGCTACATAGTGAAAGGCAAAATTCCTAATGTTTGGAGCTGTGTAGTTTTGAAATATTATGGGTTGATGTATTCAAGTGTGTTTGTGGACAGACTTATGTTTTTTTATAACATTTGTAGTTTTACATCCAAAACTCCAATGCCAAGTATACAAGCAGACCTGATCCACTCTTGGAGGCCAGTTTGTCACTGTGTTAGTCCACACAGTTGGCTGGCAGCTATCCAGTGACATGTAGCCACGCGTTCTCAGGTCGGTCACCATGGAAAGTTACTCACTTGAAAAAAGGACCTGTTGAATTTGACACAGTCCGAACCTGAGCTGGCATGAGAAATGAACGTGTACTCTTGGGGATAGATGAGCTTGAGTAGCTCACACCTACTGATTTAATGCTTTGCACAGTTGAGCAATTAAAATATGTGGCAGCAATGTGGAGCGTTCTGAAAACAGAAGTGAAAAGTGAAATTTGGCTTTGATCTCAAGAAACCTGTATGTTATTAACATTTTTGCATTACTTCACAAGGTTAATTTTTCAGTGCTGTCTTTCAGTTGACTCTTCTGTGTGCTTGCTTGCTCATTCTTAGCAGTTAAGTGGAGTGATTGATCAAATTTTTGGATTGTCTATTATTTTGCACAGTGCTGTCATTGGTTCTTGAATTATTTTCTTTCTTCCTTTATTTGCAAGACGAATAGATGCACGTAAGCACGCTCTGGATGTGGAAAGAGAAAGAGCAGCCAGAGTTGCAAGCCTGCCACCTCCTCCTCCACATCCTCTTGAGGTGTGTATCTGTGATGGGATAGTGCATCATTGCAGGATACCATATCAGTACAGTGCTTCATTGCTCTGACTCCTCACAGTGGGATATCTGAAATTGCTGTTTTCATACTGCAAGGAGAGTGGTTTGGTAATAATCAAGAAAGCCAATGAATTATGTATTAACAGACCTCCAATCTTCAATACTTGTTCTGGTTTCTTATCTCTTGTTCGTGTGGATTTTATTTCTCGTAGCCAGGAGATGTTTTTATGGTTGATGTGCGCTTTGAACCTCGTTGTAATTTCATTTTCATTTAAAAGTTGTAGTGGTCTTAGACTCTGTGGTCTATTCCAGTACGCGCTTACTGCCTCACTTGTCTGCCTTGATGGTGCAGTGTCATAGACTCGTAGAATGGCTTGGGTTGGAAGGGACCTTAAGGATCGTGCTGGCAGGGTTGCTACCTGCTAGACCAGGCTGCTCAGCAGTAAGCATTGTATTTTGCTTTCTTCTGCCTTATTTGCTGTGTTTATTATTTTCTTTCTTCTGTTTCTTGCAGGGAATACAAAAAATATGGTAAGCTGTTGAATTTTGATAGAAAAAAAAAATAATAACTCGGCTCAGCTAAAAGCTGTGGTTTTATTCTGTACCTTTTAGGGGAATGACTTTGCGTCTCCTTCATGCTTCTTTTGAATTCAGATATATTCTGAATATGTGTAGAAGTCACAGTAGAACTGCAGATCTGAACTACAGAAAGAACATTATGTGCTTTTTCATTGTGTAGTTAACTTTTGAGGTAAATTTACTAACAGAACTCTTTTAATACAGAATTTGTTAATACAGAGTTTGTTGCCTAACATATTGTGACCTTTCAGACCACCAGATTCAGTAATATTCAGACCACAGACAAGAAAATAGAGAATTTGGGTATTTACTGAGGAAAGATTAATCTAGTCTCTCTCAGAGCCACTGTAATGAGAGCTTTTTCCCAGCTCCACTCAGCACATGAGGTAGAGGTTTGTGGCTTGAAAGATAGGGAACTGATGCATCTGGAGAAACTAAGGACTGATCCTCACTGTTTTCAGAATGATTAAAGGAAGGGATACTTAAATACCTTTATTTGTATCCTTTACTGCATACTTCTGTGCAGATTTTCTTACTTGCTGCCCAGCATTTTCTTACTATGGAAATTGGCTGTGTGTGGGTTAAAGCAAGTGTTGTAAAGGAGTGATAGAAAGTGTCTGGGGTTATTCCTTGTGAAGTTACCTCATTTCTTTCCCACTGAGAACATCGATCTGAGCCAAATGAGAGGAGATCTAGTTGCTCAGTGTTCAGAATGCCTTTCAGATAAGAGTTGACGTGTGGTTGTATGCCTAAAACTTATTAAAAGAGATCTTGGTGCTGTTTGTATGAACACTTTTCAGTGAGGATATGGAAAATGCTCTTTTTCCTGGCTGTCTAATAAACTGAATGTAATGGACCCTGAGTTCTATATACAAAGTCTGTACTTGAGAAAGGTTGTCTTACCATTATGTGTAATGATATGGTGGATCTGAGGTTGCCCTGTATGCAGGTGGATATGGCAGCTGTTGCGTGGGATTTGTGTTAGAGCATTAAAACCCAGGCACTTCTGAACTAAGCTGATGCTCTTGAAAGAGGAAGGTACAGCTCCATGATGAATGCCAACATTTGTGGAGGAGTTTCAGCTGTGTGCTGATAGATGCTCTCAGTTATTAAGCTTTCTAAGTATTCTTTATGTTGATATGATTTTGTTTTTATTAAGTGTATGTAAAGATTGAAATGACAATGTTTTCTGGAGATAATTTTCTATGTTTTTTTTTAAATTTTTTGATTTCTTTTGATACTAAGAAATGAGCTCCACACTTAAATCTTTCATTTAGCTGCTTTGCCAGAGGAAGCCGTTCTCTATGGCTTATTTCTACTTTTCTTTCTAGAATCTGGAAGTGAAGAAGATTGCTGCAATGAAGGCCCATGGTGCTGGCAAATTTTCTGTTACACGTTACCATATTTCAGAACCTTACGCAGACAGAGAAATGGATGCAGAACAGGTGATTAACTTCCCAGTGTTTGTGATATACACTTCCATCTTTCTTTGTACTGCATTCCGTATCTGGATATCACCTTAGCAATTAAGTTTCCATTTTAAGGCCTATGCTAAGTTAATTGTTGTCTTTGCCCAGCTTTTTTTTCTTCTCCCTCCTCTTTTAGCTGTGTACTCGCAGTCTTTACTTCACATTCATGCTCAGATGGTGATGCAGTCAACAGCTTTAACTTGCAAAAGTCTGATTTGAGGAAAAGAATCCTGAGTAGAGATTTGCCAGATGAAAAGGTTTACTCAGGATTGCAGTACAATCCCAGGTCAAAGTTAGATCAGAAGAAGAGGAGGAGCTGGAAAAGTAAAAGATGGAATAAGAACTCAGCTTTTAGAGGTGGTTTGGCTTATTTGTGATGTGAGACCACAGTCTAAATTCCTGTTTGCTATCACCCTTATTTAGATGGAGTTCTCTTGAGACTCACGAATTTACGAGTATTCTGTTCAGTGGCATTGTTCTTGTTCATGAATTTTAAGGTGTAAACAATAAAGACTAAATGATAAGAGCGGGTGCTTTAGTCTGAACTCTTGGAATTTTTGGAAAACTCTAAAATGTTTATAGCCTTGTTTATTTGATTTTTTTTTTTTTTTTTTTTAAATTTACAAGTGTTAACAAGTTTTAAGTAAGTACAAACTTGCAGATTTTTTTCTGGTTTCTCAAATTAGAGTGGAAACATTTCTGATCTTATTTAAAACTTTAAAACATACAAGCAGTGAATTTGTAATATTGATGGCATTATTCGTTTTTACCTGGTATTGTAGGAAGAATAATCACTGCAATAAAAAATGGACGAATTATTGTGTCTAGTGGAGTTTGGAACTAGAATACTTTGATACCTAACCCTTGTAAAATGTGTACATTTGCTTTTTTTTTTTTCATGTGTATGAATATTGTTTGGTCCTGCTTGCAACTGAATTCTGTGAAGTCTTTGAAGGTGGTTAATATTGTACTTTATAAATCCCAAGTGTTTTTGCTACAGAATTACTCACTTAATATTAAGTACACTTTAAACTACCAGAAGAACTCAGTGGACTAAACTAGTAATTGTCTGCCAGCCAGATGCTCGGTTGGCGGCCGAAGAGGAGGTGAAGCATTTGAAGCAGCTACACGAAGAGGCAGAGAGGGAGAGAAGAGAGCAGCTTGAGAAGGCGCATCTCAGAGGAAGTCATGCCTTGAAGAAGGTCCATTTGGCTCAGGTAGGCAAAGCAGACATTTAATGTCATATACCAGCACCTGTTTTTTTACTGCCAGAGTGACCAATGTTAAGAAAGCTGTAAGTTGGTATTTGCCAGAGTGGCTGCGGTTTCAAGGGGAAGATGTTTAGACTTAACAGGGTTTTCAGAATGCTTTCATAACATGATCAAACTCAACTTGCTTATTTTAGCTGTCTGGAAGCCTATAGGGTGATCTTTCACCAAAATAAATTGGAAACATTTGGATGCAGAATAGACACTACCAGTCAGCTTTTCTTGTGCCAGAGCTCTTCATATCATACCATTACAGGTTCTTTATTTAAAGTATTTGCTGTTTGTTGACATGCTAGCTGAGGTCAGGGAAATCCTCTGTGTCAGTTCAGTGGGAACTAGAAATGGAATTATTGGCTTTTAAATACATGATAGCATTGAAAAAACCACATTTCACATTTCAAGAACCTTGACAAAGTTGCTCTGTGCTTCGTGACTTTTTGCTTTGCCTGACTTTTTTGGTATGAAGGTGCTTCTGAGCTGAAATGCCTCATGAGTTAGGTGCTTGAAGTATTTAGGTAATGAATCACAGAACTGGAAGAACAATGGTTTGAGTCCTCATTTCATCGACTGTTCCTACTGCCATTGTTTAAAAGCTTGTTTATGTTACAACTATGTGAGATTGAGGAGAAAGCATGTAATGATTTTGAATTATGTCCAGAATGATGGGTATCATTTTTCAAAGCACCTCTGAGAGTATCAGCCGCCCTAAATCTCACTAATGTCCTTTGAGAAAATTGGAGTCTATATACTCATTTTCAGTCCTTCTCCCTCCCTTACATTTTATAGTTCATTTTACATTTTAAAATAGTATTTAAAGTATTCATTCAGGGGTTGGTGCTTCTCTCAGACTTTCCTCACCTTTGCATCCCATTCAGACAAGAGGTGTAAGGACCTTTTGCTACCCAATACAGCGAGAGGTGCGGATAGCATGAACTTAATTCTTCCTCAACTGCAAAGGCTGCTGAATAATGCTGTCTGCAGCACCAGCTGTGACCTGTTAGGAGAACTGCTGCAGTGAAAAGACAAACACTTACATACAAATATGTGCTTCTTGCAGAGCCTGCTTGTGAATTCTCGCGCTGCTTTCTTTTTTCTTTGTTGTTATTGATGTGAGCAGGTACAAATGTTCAGTCAGTTTTTAAATCCACACTTGGATTCAGACTGGGTCTTTGCAGTTCTTTTTCTATTAATCTGTTGCTGGCATAAAACCCATTTTATTAAATGTGTATATAGGAGAGAAACTGTTAAATATGGTATTATATGCATGGTTCAGTATGTGGGCATAACTGTTCTGTTATCAAATTCTACCCAAAGCTGACAAAAACCTTTAAGCTTCATCATGACTTTCTCATCATGATTTTCTCATGGAATAAATCGAAATATCTCAGATTCTCAGATTGTTTCTTCTTATTAAGAAGATGACTTTTTTAATTTTCAACATTTTAACTTAAAATGAATTTTTCCCCTTAACAAATTATAGATAAAACTTTAAAAATAAAAAACAGCTTTAATGTGACATTGAGCATCAAGAGTATTGGCTTGCTTAAAAGTAACAGTTACTGAAGCACAAGCTAAGAAGTAGCTTATTAATGGAAGTACTCCTTTACTTTATACAACAAAAGAGTTAATTCTGTTTAGGGAAGCCAGCTTGCAGTGTACCATCCCATACTTTGTTTTTTGTCAGATCTTCTAGGTTGAAAACACTCTCGTGTTTAAAGGTCAGATACAGTCTTCTCCCAAGGAAGCACTTGCTTCCTAGAATAAGATTAATTTAATTCTGAACTCCTCAGATTAACTTCATGGTAACCAAATGGAAGTGTTTTATAATCCTGACATACTGCTGTCTGAAAGTTAACACACAGTGCTTATCACCCCTTTACTTGAAGGATAGGGAAAGGCTATTGAAGGAACTGGAACAAATGCAGAGAATGGATCGAATGCGCAGAAGACAGATGGTAGCACAGATGCCACCTCAACTTTTTGTACCTGGATACAAACGCATGGAAATGAAAGAAGAGTGGCAGAGAGAATTGGAGTTTGCCTTTGAAGATATGTACAGTGAGGACAGGAGTGAGTAATCTGTGGGAGGATGCTGATTCTGGCTGCCCAGAGATTCTGCTGCAGCCACGTGTTCCCAGGTGCAGCAAGTAGTGAGGCTGCACATTTTTTCCTGGTGGGTATGCACACAAACAGTACAGGTTGCTTCATCCTGTTCCCTGCTGTGTATGGGGCTGTGGGAAATACATCTGTACAGCGTTGATCCCTCCAGCAGTTAGTTCCAGACATTGTCAACCCAGTAACTAGTCTCTGCATCCCAGACCTACCCAGTTGCTGGCATCTGAACTTACAAGATGTTGAGGCTCACAGCCCCACTCCAGCTTCTTGTGCTCGGGCAGCCTTGTTTACAGATATGCATACACATACCCTATAGCACTCTCAGCACGGAATGGATACTTCGGTACTTAAAGTTAGGTGCTCATTCTGTCCAGTAGCTGATCACAGACCTTGTAGCCTTCCACTGTCTGTAGATGCACTGCTGTGCTCAATATGTGCTATGGATCTCTCATTAAGGTGACTTTAAATACTCTTTCTACCCAGCTGGTGCTGGCTCCTTAGGCTCCACAGTAGCTGGCACCTGGATGTGTGAGCTGCTGCTTGATATGCAGACATCGCTGTCTGCAAACATGTCTGTGCAAACATGTACATGTTGTCAATGCCAGCAGTAACTGACCTTGGATCCTTTCGTTTCTAGTTCTGTCAAAGCCATGTATGTATTTATGCCGGCCTTAATGCCAGCAGGTTCTTGGTTGAGCTTGTGACCCCACCATCCCCTGTGTAGCTGGCAGGGATCTGCTGTGGGCCAACAGGGATCCAGTGGCCAACAGGCAGACCCTCTGGTCTCTCTGGTATCCAGCCCAGTCTTATGGCTGCTCTGATACTTGGCTTCTAAGACCCTTGTTATTCGCAAGGACTAGTCTGGCTTGCTATTTGCTAATCCTTGCATACTAATATGTATGTGCTCATTCTGGTCTCTGCTTTGGTTGCTGCCTGTTATGCACCCATATGCATGCATACAAAGTAGAAGGTTCCTCACTCACAAAAAATGGAATTTAGCAAGAAGACAAGTCAGACCCTGCGTACTGTCTGGCCTTTTTAAAATTTATATATATTTACTCCTCTGTTTCTACCCCAAAACTTGTTTCTTCCCAGTCTAACTTGATCCTTCCCTTTCCCAACCTTTGATTCTTTCCCTACATGTCCACAAGTCTTGTACAAACCCATTTATCCCTCTTAGGCAGTAGCCCTCTCAATCTACACAGTGATCCTCAGAAAGCCTCTCATGGATTCATCTTCCAGGATTTTGCACCTGGACGATGGGATCAATGGCTGCCCTGTGAGCAGCCAGCTTAGGGTGCTTGTTTTCTCTGAAGAGGTTACTGGGCTCCACCTCTATTTAGTGCACTGCTTTTTGCATGGAGGGAGAACTTTTACTTTATATCCTCTTATTTTGAATGATTTTGAACATGTTTTATGGGAAACCACAAGTCTGAATTAAAAAGATAGCTAATGATCTAAATGGCTTCAATTTTGAAAGTCTTCTGTTTTGGGGAGAAAAATAGTTGGAATAAAACTGTTGTGAAACAAACTGTTGATATTGGAACTTGTGTAACTTGGGGTGTTTGCATTTTATTCTAATTGGTCACTTTTTTTGTGTTTGTGTTCCTTTAATTAGAAATGAAAGGAGACTTGATTTTGCAGTTTGAACCACAGCCTTTGCCATCCCCTTCTGATAGATCTCAAGATAATGATCTTGATCTCTCTTTGGAGCAAGAATGTGTTTGTGACACTCAACAAGAATCAGGACAGATGGTGGAGGAGGAGGTCCCTGCTGAATCAGAAAGTAACACTTTTAAACTCAGTCTTTCTTGTTTTATAGCAGAAGAGGTTGTATGTTAGTATTAACTAAAATGTCTAAGTACTAAAATTCCATAATGAATATGAGGTGTTTCAAGGTTAAGTGATTTGTAATGCTCATCACTGATGATGAATATTGACATACAAGTTTGAAGTAGAAATTACTTTTCCTAATACACTTCAGTTCATTAGAATACTGAGATTATTGTTCTTGCAGTTATTATAATGTTAGCTATAGTGCTTTCTATATAACTATTGCAAATGATGAGATGGTACAGTATATGAAATATTAGCCATGTGAAGAGTGAAGTTTGCTTTAACTTGACTTCATGTGAAAGTCTACTTACAGTACATCCTTTATGCTCTGCATTGTGCTTGAGTCGCTTCGTTTTGTGCATAGGCCACACTAGTTGCATGTGCACATGGCATGAGCAGAATAACATAATGTGAACAAGATATGTATTATTGAATGTTGCTGCATGACAAACATTTCTGCCACGTTGCTTTGTTGCTACTGTCCATTTCTGGGGCTGTGATGCATTCATTGTGTTGCCAGCTCTACTACAAAGAGAGGACAGGAACGTACAAGTATTGCTGCTGGTTTCTGCAGCAGTGTAGTCTGTAAGGAATCTGGTTCTGAAATGCTGCTACAAGCTGAGCCCTCCTGTTATTGCATCCTGAGACATGTTGCTGCTTCTGTCTTGCAAGGAGAAGAAAATACTTAAGCTTTGAAACTTGATAATATAGTTAGTTATTTAGCTATGTAAGCAAATAAAAGAAGTTGTTTTGTTTTTTGTTTTTTTTTTCTGTAACATGAAGATAATCATTACCTAAATCTCTTAAAGGTTTATGTTATTTGTAGGTCATAAAGAGGTAAAACCTCATCAACCTCAATCAAAACTTGCCTTGAAGAAATTGCTGAACAAGATTAGAAACCAAAAAGAGGAGTGGATATCAAAAAGTGGGAAAGAGTTTCCAAGCAAGATTGAGACTATTGAATCAGGCACTATTGCTGACAAGGAGAGACATCAGGTTGATTTAGATCTGAATGATGAGCAATGCAAAAATTCTGTATGTGAAGCCAAAGGTATGGAATATGCTTGCATTGACATTTGTTATGTAGGAGCAAGTCCATAGGGTGGACTGTAACAAATTTTTTTTTAATTCGAATGAATCTTTCAGTGGTGCTGTTTTATCATGCTGCCAGAAAGTGAATACAGTTCTCTCATCTCTGCCTTTCGTCTTACCCATAAAGATTTCTCAGAAGAAAGATGTCTAAAATATCTCTGTATTATAAATCTCACCCAAATTTTGGTCAGACTTCATGCTGGTGTGTTTTAAAAGATGTTTACCTATGGGGGCAGAAGTTGCAGGGCAGTATTGGTTGTGGGAGTTCTTTACCTGTTAAACTGGAAAAGCTGAATTCGTGAGATTCACAGCTAGAAATGCTTGACAGGCATGAGCTGACATGTCTGTAGCGAAGGATTTTTCCTGGACTTAAAGCACCATTCCAAAAGGTCTCAGTGTAAAACTGATCTTACAGAAGTCAAACATCCCATTTTGTTTAGTAGCTCCGATTGGTTTGGAGTTTCCAGCCCTGTGTTGCTATGTTAGTTATGTGAGTGCTGAAGGTGATGAATGTGTATGAAGATTTGATTTTTGTGCTTTTACATTTGCCTTGAGATTGCTGGTTTTAGACCCTCCTTTTTTTCTTAGAGGTTAAGACTTTTTTTTTTTTTTCTATACCTGAGGAGGATGATTTTGCTATCAGGCTACCAAGTGATTTAGAAAACAACCAATGTTCAATCCAGCTAGAACTGAGACATTGCTCAGCCTTTCACTAGGCTGGATGTGGCTGTGGGCAGCCTGGTGTGGTGGTTGGTGACCCTGCACATACCAGGGGGGTTGGAACTTGATGGTCATTGTGGTCCTTTTCAACCCAAGCCATTCTGTGATTCTATGATTTCTTTACATTCAAGAATGGCACGTGATAAAGGGCCATTAATGACTTAAATAATGCAAAACCTGATCTTTCCAGCTCACGGAGATGAGCTGAGTGGATGCAGATGGTCATCATGTCAAGGCTGCCTGCTTGTGTGTTTTTTCTTTTGAGAGCTTGGGAAACTAAAGCAGGATGTAAACAAGATACGAAGCTCTTTCTGGTTGCATTTATAGTTAAATAATATTTATTTTAGAGTCCGAGGAGATGTTGGAACATAGAGTTGTGCTTGAAAATTCAGTTCTAATCCATCCTCAAGAACAAGCAGCTAAAATTAGAATGGAAAATGAGAGACAGCAGTGGGTAAGTGTGAGTGAATATACTTTTTGTCTCAGTTATGATGTAAAAAGAAGTGATTTACAGAAGGTAATAAAGGTGATAAAATGCTTCAGGTTATAAAGCTGCAACAGACGCTTTCACCATACTGTTAACATTTTAAAGGAACTTCTACTGCAGCATTATCTATACTTGGCCTTTGTGTAGTAACTTTTATTTTATAGCAATTAGTGAACGCTAGCTGGAATGTACAATAGTGTGGAGAAAAATTCTTTTGTGAAATTTAACAGCTACTGCAGGCAAAGGATTCTATGCCATGATTAAGTAAGAATTCCAGTTGTCAGGTAGTATCTATCTGGCTTAAGGAAAAGGTGATCACCAGTACAGAACTGTGAAGATTTTACTAACCCTGTGTAATCGTATCTGAAAGTCTCTAGGATTGCATAGAGTGACAGAAAAAGCTTGCAAACCTTGAGTATTTTGTCTCTCAGTTTATAAAATCAAGTGCAGAATGACTTCTGTTATCTATATGAACACGCTGTATTTACAAGATAACTTTGTTAATGGTATGTGCATGATGTATCTATATTATATGTATTTAATTATATTTTTACTGTATCTTAGGTGGAGGCCTGCCAGCTGTTATGTGGTTGTTTATCAATTAAAAAAAAAAAAGTTGAATTTCAGGTCCTACTGCAACCTTAAATTGTAGTTTTAAAGTACAGAAATTCAGGAAATAAATTTCACAATAATATTTTAGTGAGGAGGGGAACAAAAGGCAGCAGGTCTCCTGTGGAAGTGCGGTTACTTTCTTTAACATGTTTTCTTGCACTTAACACATGTCCAGATGTATATATTTTTATATTTCCATTTCTGTTAACTGTTCCCAGCTTCTCCTTGGTCTCCCTTCATCACTACTTAGAAATTTTTCTTCACTCCCATTCTAAAAGTGTATGTGCTGTTACTTCATGTGGCTGTGAGTGATTTGTAGATGAAAGATACTTGGAAAGAGAATAAAAATAAACAAAACACTTGAGAGATTTCTGGAGTGCTCTTAAAGTGGTGGTACACGAGCCATTTCAGAAGCTGGGTAAGATTTGAATTAGCATTTAAATGCCTTGAACTTTTGATGAGAAGTTCTATAAAATGCAAAATAGGCTTCTGAGTTCAATCCAAAAGAAGGACTTCCTTTTCCTCTGGAAAATTATGATGCATCTTGAATGATTAGGTTTGGATTTTTATCCATTCTATTCTTTCAGTGGCAGATAATTGTGCAACAGTAAATGGATTCAGGGGCCATTAGAAATTTCAGTCACTACTGAAATGATTCTTGACAGTTTCAGCACTACTTTTAGTGGCTGCTTACAACTTGAAAAAGCCTGTCATAAGTGATACAGTTTTTACTACAAGTTAAAAGTTGGAACAAAGTTTTGTGTACAAATGTATGGGTCTTTTTCCTTGAGTTCTAGAGATGTTTTTGGTTTTTTTTTCCAATAGCTTGAGCAAATAGAGCAACAGAAACAGGAACAGCTGGCCTTGCTGAAACAAATTGAAGAAGAGAGGGCACATCTGGAAATCCAAATGCAAACCTGTTTGGAAGAAGCTAAGAACAAAAAGGAGGAGGAAGAGAGAAGTCAGCCAGTACAAAGCTGCAGTGTTCCTTCTACAGATCAACAGAATAAAGCAGAACATGAGGTGAGGAATTGTGGAACGGGGTGTTTGGGGGTGAGGCCTGTATATTTCAGTTGTTTTTCTGTTATAGAATCAAGAGGTCCAATTGTTCAAAGAAGGGCAACAAAGCTGGTGAGGGGTCTGGAGCACAGGCCTTATGAGGAGCAGCTGAGGGAGCTGAGATTGTTCAGTCTGGAGAAGAAGAGGCTCAGGGGAGACCTTATTGCTCTCTGTAACTACCTGAAGAGAGGTTGTAGTGAGCTGGGGGTCAGCCTCTTCTCTCGTGTCATTAGTGATAGGACCAGAGGGAATGGTTTCAAGCTGTGCCAGGGAAGACTCAGGCTGGATATTAGGAAATACTACTTCTCTGAAAGAGTGGTCAGGCACTGGAATGGGCTGCCCAGGGAGGTGGTGGAGTCACCGACCCTGGAGGTGTTCAAGGAACGTTTGGATTTTGTGTTGAGGGACATGGTTTAGAGAGAACTATTGGTGATAGGTGGATGGTTGGACTGGATGATCTTATAGGTCTTTTCCTTAGTGATTCTGTGATTCTGTGAATTGCCAGTTTAAAATTCTATTAATGAAGACCTTGTTTTTATTTCTCAGGTCACAAATCAGAACTGTACTGAACAGTACTGAAGTCTGTAACTTTTTTTGTCTAATGTAGATGCTTTTATATCACATTATATGTATCACTGAAGACTTTAAATATTGGGTTATCTGCGGAGGCCTTGGGACAGCATGTCCATATAAAATGCTTGTTAGTAGAACCTAATTAGAGCTGTATAATGAGGGTGCATGTACAAATGTCCTTTTTCAAGGAAAAATAATCTTAGGAAAAAAAGAACTATCCATTTTTGTCTTTGTCAAACTCTTAAATATCTACTTAATTGAAGGGGAGTTCACTGGGGAGAGTGAGGAGAAAGGTGTGTTTTTTTTTTTTTTTTAGTTTTGAACCATTTCCACAGTGTGCACTCTTAAAAGAATCTATTTGCCTTATAAAGGCAGCTGTGCTGGATCATTGCTCACTTAATTTGCTGCTGGGTACATTTAGCTCTTTGAGCTAAGCTCCTACATGCACCATTGACTTTGATGGTGGATGCTAGACTTGCCAAGAGGGACTGTAGCTGTAGGCTGTGTGTTCCAGAAACTGCTTTAGCTTCATTGCCTGAGGCCAAAAGCTCACAGACTTCAAGCGGTGTTACGGAGTGGTTTCTGCATTCTTGAGAGGATGAACATACAGCTTGAGATTGTTGCTTTAACTGTTTCTATGAATTATTGTTTATTTTTACTTAAAATGACTTAATTTCAATTAGTCTGGAAGTACTGCTGTGCCAGAAGCCAGAAGTCCTGGAGAAGACAGGCACTTACAGGTGATTCGTAATTATCAACAGCGTCTTCTAGAACAAAATAGGTAAACTGCTTTATTAAAGTTCTGACCTTCCTGTTTCAAAGTAATTTGAATTGCTTTGATTATTAAAAATGATGTTAATCTGTGCACCAGTCTGGAAAGATGCGGGTTTTCTTTCTGTTTAGGCTGCACAAACAGACGATCAATGAAGCTAGAATGTGTCTACAAGAATATCAGAATAAATTGAAGCAAAGATACTTGACTGATCCTGTGAAAATTTTAAGCTCTGTGGAAACAACATCAGTTAATTTAAAGCTTATCTCAGAACCAGTTGAACGGACACAGAGAACACAGTCTATGCAGACCCAATCACCTGCAGAAAACCACACACTGTCACTACCTCTTCCCTACAACATGTGCAATGTTCCTGAAAATGGATCTTCACAGAAACATGGAGAGAGAATGCACAGTGTTTATCCTGATAGGCACCTACATTCTCTAGAACCATCAAATTTGAAGTTCGGAGAGATCTGTTTGCCACGGAGCTGTTCTTTGCAGGAACAAGTAGGAATGTTGGACACCTCCAACAGTGAGGTCAGAGAACCATCTGTGTTCCAGTTACCATCAGCATTGGTCACACAAGATGTTTCTCCAGCCAGAATGCAACTGGAAGCACGTGTACAACAGGTTAGATTTGCCTTACCTGCAGAACATTCCTCTGAGTCTTCAGAAACAGAGCACTTGAAGGAATCAGACCTCAGATGGTCTAACCATCAAATGGAAACACAAGCTGAAGAAGAGCCTCCGCCTATGACACCCCTTATGGCAGCAACAAAAGGATGTCCTATAATGCAGGCAGCCACAGTTGATTCTTTGGCTTGTCAGCAGGGGTCTGCAGAGAGCCCCACCAGAACAAGCCTTGAACCCAGCTCTCTTTCTGGACCTGTGTCTTTATCTCATGAAGAAGGTGTCGAGGAATCCTTAGTATCAGAAGGTGGAGATGCATCTTTGTTGAATTATTCCTGTATAGTGAATTTAAGGGACAGAGCGTTGGCCTCATCAGAAAGCATCCAAGCTCAGCAGCAGTATTTGAAAGAATTGCAAGAACAGCTAGATGCACATAGAGAAGCCCTTCTTTCTAGACAGAAAATACAAGAACAACTACTTATACAGAAACAGGATAAACTGAGGGAACAGATGCAGAAACAACAAGAGGCTTTGGAAGAATTTCTGAAGAAGCAGGTAAGCTTTGTAAGTGCTTTGTTTGGTGAGTCATCCAGTAAGGGATAAAACTCTAGAGTGAATGCTAGGAGTTGGTAAAGTATCTCATGGAGTGTTGGGAGCTTCAAGTGATTTGCTGTATTGGAAATCTTAATTGAACATCTTAATTGAATTTTATTTGTAGTTTTTTTTCTGCAACTTTCTATTTCAAGAAGTTCTATATGTACGCACATGTAAAAGTTGTTTTGGAAGTTGCACTCTTGACTTGGAATTTTGCTCATTTCTGGGTGAGGAGGCTTTGGGTTAAGAAGAACTGTTGCTGTGAGCTGCACTATTGCAGTTTCCATACAGCTAAAGTTCCCGAATTTAGGAGTGGAAAAATCAGAAATTTTAGGAATTTTTATTCTCAAAAATGCTGACTGTTCTGATAGAATCTAACAAATGCCTTGAAAAATGTAACAAATAATGTTTTGTCATGTTTGGTTTGTAGAGCTAAGTAGGATATCTGTATACCCAAATGCTTCTTCAAGCTGTGCAAGGGGTAGAGCTTGCATGCTTTAACTTTCTCAAAATGCACACTCGAGCTTGTTTATCAAAGCATAATAGTGTGAAATGTACACCCAAAAAAAGACTGACTTTCTTAATGACTGTAAATATGAGTGCTGTTGTTGCTACTTATTTATTTATTCCCCTTAAGGTAAGACACAGCAATATAAATGGAGTAATGACAGAGTCACAAAGGCCTGACTGGATTAGTAAGAGGAGTGACTTTTTCCAGGACTCAGAAAACTACCAGGAAGAGAACTGTGACATGAGTAAATTTTACAGAGATGAAATGATTTCACAGTACATCAGTCTAGCTGGGCAAATTGGTAAGGCTGTATGGCATGTTTTATTATAGTATTTTGTTTTTCTCATTTTGCTTCTGAGATGGAGTTCTCTTCCATTTGCCCAAGCTGATTTGATAGGTATATTGTAACATGCTCAGGGAGCCTAAACCATAAAACCTTGTTTTACAGAACAGCCTGAAAAAGTTCTGCATAGAGAACAGAAATGGAGGTTTTCCAGACCTCCTGTGACAAAAGTGAAGTTGGGGCTTGGTTTGGAGCAGCATGAACTTAGTGCTATTCCAGAAGTAGACACACCAAGGAGTTGCAATGTTTCTTTTGCAGGTAAAATATGAGTACAAAATGTGTGTATACATATAGGATATATGAATGCTTCTGTTCTTAGGAGTATAGATTGGAGGAAATAATTATTTTCTGAAGGTTTTAAGGTGATGGATAATAAAATAATAGCTGGTACTTTTACCATAAGATATAATTTAAATATTATTCAAGGGAATTATAGTTGAGAAAAGCTTTCCTTATCAGTGTCAGCCTAGAAGAAATGTAGCAAAAAAAAAAAAAAAAAAAAAAATCACTGTAATCCCAGGACTGATTGATTTTTCTGTTGAATGTATGAGACTTGGAGGTTCTACGCGGAAAATGTCTTTAATAGCAAAGATAGAAGCTTGAGTGCAGAAAGCTGTGTGTAGTTACTCGTACCCTGGAGAGGGTCTGCATTTTTATGCAGCTATTCATGCCTTGTTTATTCTGAGGGTTGAATCAGATGTGAATGTATCAGTTAATTGCAAAGAGAATAGGCAAGAGCAGCTGATGGAAGTTCTTTTTCTTTAAAATCTTTTAAATAAGAAGCTAGTACCAAATATCTACAGAAGTTTTCAGACAAACTATAGTTTTGTTGTTTTTTTTTTTTCAATTACAAACCATTCTGTAACAATTCCAGACAAAAACCATGCAAAGCAATTGTCAGTTTCTAGGAATGTTGGTTACCATTTGTATGCAGTTCTTAGTAATGCTTTGTAAGCAACATTAAGTAACGGGTAAAACAAACTCATGTTTTTTAAATGTAAACTTCTGATTTTTCCCCTTACCTTCTCCCTCAAGTCTTTTTACAGCTAAAATGTAACACATGTTTTAATGCTGTGCTAGTGTTCATAAAAGAATTAAGCAGAACAATTCAAGTAACTACAGGCTGGGTAAAGCTTAGAATCATAGGATCACCAAGGCTGGGAAAGACCTCCAGGATCATCCAGTCCAACTGTCCACCTACCACCCGTATCTCCCTGCTAAACCATGTTCCTTAGTACAGCATCTAAACCTTTCTTGAACACAGCTTATTCTCAATCTAAATCCCAAACACAGCATCAGAGCAGCTACTAGGAAGAGAACTGACTCTATCTCAGCCAAGAGCAGAACAACAAATTCCTGTATCTGAGGTGTTTGATGGAAGAATATATTCTTCAAAGCAATTGTCTTAGTAATACACACTTTCATTAAACAAACCAAAACAGAAGAGGGTGGTGACACACTGGAACAGGCTGCCCAAGGAGACTGTGGATGCCCCATCCCTGGAGGCATTCAAGGCCAGGCTGGATGTGGCTCTGGACAGCCTGGTCTGCTGGTTGGTGACCCTTCACATAGCAGGGGGCTTGAAACTAGATGATCTTTGTGGTCCTTCTCAACCCAGGCCATTCTAGGATTCTATGAAAAAACAGCCTCTCATAAACAACAGCAGCAAAGATTAAAAATGGAATAACTACAAAAAAATACTTCTGAAACACTGCGTGGAATTCTAGAATAGGCAGTGCATATGTGCTGTGTGAACACTAGTTTATGTGACAGACGATTCATTCCATTATTACTATTATTGGTCATGTTAGATAGGAACAAACTTGAGTGTTTTAATTGCATTGAGTGGCTGAAAAGGGCTGTTGGTGAGGAGAGAGCTTTGGGGAGAAAGGAGATCTTCAAAGCAGAGAAGACAGGCGGTATCTGGATTTACTAACCTGGTATGGTTAATTTACATGGAGCACTGAGCAAAATCAGTATATTATTTCTGTAGAACAGCATACCCACCTTAAAATGTTCTTTCATAAAGTGCAGAACATTGTGTGTCTATACCTGAACTGATGAACTGTTTTAAATTCAGCTAAAACAGGTTCTGCTGGTGGAGAACCTTCTCCAATTTCAACTGTTGGGGAGTTTGTGCATAGGAAATGTTATGGTGATGCTCTTCATGAAGAAGGCAGGTCACCTGGGAGCATAACAAGCTATGAGCAGCAAATCTCTGTTGAAAGCCCAAGGCAAAGCAAACAGCCTGGATTATTACAGGAGCTGCTGCTGATGTCTACTGAAAATTCATATGATTCAGGTGAGGAAATCCTCTTTCTTCTGGGACCTATGTGAGTACCATTCTGTACTGCTAACTTAACTGCTGTTTATCTGGACGATGTGACCTGACTTGTTAAAGATCATAGAGTGCTGTTTAAATACTGTTTAATTTCGATTGTAAAAGTGATATTTCAGTAAGTGCCTCTTAAGACTGAGTTTTGATTTTGCTTTCTTTGTGACCCACTACCACTGTAGCAATCTGTGATCACACTGCAGATCTTTGCCAGTCAGTTTTTCATCCAAAGCATGCACTGTGAATCTGTAGCTTGTGGAGCTGTCTGTAGAGACCTCTTTTGCATCACCTGATTGCCCTGCTGTAGCAGCAGACTCTCATGTGTGTACAGAGTGAAATGCTAGATTAGAAGTTGTGTTCTTCCTCTGAGAGAGAGAACTTCTTCCCAGAGTACATGTGAGGAGCCCAGGTGTGTACCTTCTCCACATGAGAACCTGGAGCAGACCAATGGTGTGCCTGCAGCAGTACTCTGTGATTCCTTCTGAAGACACAAGAGATTCATGCTTAGGAAGAAATGTGGAGTGTTACTGTACTGATAGACAGCCACAGGGAGATCTCTGTAAGAAATTGCTTAAAAGTACAACTGAGACAAAATATAAAAGGCTGATTGTTACCCTTAGTGCAAAAAAACAACTTAGAAAGAATCAACTGGTGGAAAACTAATGCAATAATGTAAGGTTTACCTTTATTCTGGTATGTTCTGTTCATCTGTGAAGAGCTTTAATTAGAGATTAGCCTTTGAGACTAGATTGTGTCCATGTGCAACAATGTTAATCTGATATCATAAATTGAAAGCAGTTGTTTTGGTTATCACAAACAAAGCAATTTGTGGACGTGTTCAAGCATGTCATGGGTGGCTTAACTGGCTTCTAAGAGGACAAAGGTGATCAAAGAAAGCAGGTTAGAAAGAGGTTTTTTGAGTACTTGGCCTAACAAGTGGAGTCAAGGTTTTTGAATCCTGCTGTTTTTTTCTGCCTGTAGTAATTCAGGTTTCTTTGGTCTCGGGATAAAGTGAACCTGGGGTTCCAGTGCTTTCAGTTGCAGTGCATTTACAGCTTCTAAAATTTCTTGCAGATTGAAATGCAGTTTATTGTAGTTCCAGTTGGCAGATGGGATATCTGACTTGCTGTGAACTGTTCCGTGTTCTGTGAAATGCTGACTTGAGCAATGTGAAGTTGAATACAAGTTGACAGCACCTCGACATCCAGTGCAGTTTTCAGTATCTATCCAAAATAAATATATTAATAGGGCTGCAGCGCAGTTGTTTTCAGCCCCTTATCCTTATATGTACATCTTTACAAGCAATATAGCTATGTCACACATAACTCCTGGTTTTACTAGAATTTTCAATGCTATTCCAAATATTAAGGTAAATTTTAATTTAGTTTGTGCTGAAACATTCTTTTGAATTCAATTAAGATTTATTAGGGATCAAAGTTGCTTTAAATCAGTACATGTAAGCTGATTTTCTCTCAGTTTCTTCCTTTAATTCTCAAAGTAGTCTGATTGAAATATGCATATCTTTAAACTAGTGATAACTTAAGTATTTTGTTTCTTAACAGTGTTTGGAGACAAGGCTTGTGTTTTCAGAATAAGTTGTATAATCATAGAATCACCAAGGTTGGAGAACATCTCCAAGACCATCCAGTCCAGCCATCCACATACTTCCAGTGTTGTCCTACTGAACCATGTCCCCCAGTCTCAATGTTTCTTGAACACCTCCAGGGATGGTGACTCCACCACCTCCCTGAGCAGCCCATCCTAGCACCTGACCACTTCTTTGGAGGGAAAAAAAAGTTCAATAATATGCAACATGACCCTGCTCTGGTGCAGTTTGAGGCCATTCCCTCCAGTCCTGTCCCTGCTTACACAGGAGAAGAGGCCAATCCTCACCTTACCACAGCCTCCTGTCAGGCAGTTGTAGAGAGCAATGTGGTCTCCTCTGAGCCTCATCCAGAGTGAACAATCCCAGTTCCCTCAGCCACTCCCCATATAAGACTGGTGTTCCAGACCCCTCATTTGTTGCCATTTTCTGGATGCATTCCAGGGCTAGATTGTTTGCCTCACTGGTAGCACTGATTCAGATTGCTTCCTCTTACCATGGCACTGATATCTCTCAAGATGAGTTAGGAACTTAACATATTTGAGTTTTCTCCTTCTAAATTCAATTTGCAGAAAAATTAAAAAGGGTGAATAGAATGTAAATTGTTAATAGGGAACTGCAGAGTAATCCCACAGATGAGACAGGCAGTTTGATCACATAAACCTCAGTTCCTTAGGGAAATTGTCTTGAAGACAGTGACTAGACCTGATGCATGCATCTTTTTCACAGTTCTCCTTCCCTGCATATCAACAAGCCTTTCTCTGCATTCGTCCCTGCCTTTAAGAGTCACCTTGGGCAATGTTCCAGATGTGATCATTTTCATGTATTGCTACCCTAAGCAGGTGTTATTGCAAGCATGATTATTTTCTGTGTGACCTGAGATTAAGACTTCAATTTATTTTTAATAATCTCAAATATTTGTCCATAATTCATTATTACAACAGACAGTCTTACCCTTCACCAATTTAAAAGCAAGTACAACTATTGACTTCTTTTTCCTCTTTTTAATAGAAAGATTTGGGTTAATCTGTTTTTCGTTGTCTTTGAGTGATTTGTCATTCAGGTCTCAGCTGCATCCTAAGATTCCTACTGCTGCTTCTTCCTTCAGTTTCAGTTAGCACTTCTTTCTGTCACTGTATGGTGGCCAGGAGGCTAAAATGAAAGGCTGGTGCAGATGTCAGGAAGCTGTGAGGAACATGAACTCTGCACTGTTATTTTGGAGGTAGAAATAAAAAATTAAAGTAAAAAAAAACACCTCTTTTTTTGAGTCACTAAGTGCAGCTTTTTAAGGATGTTACTGCAATAAAGGCAGGAGATATGGGTGTGTTGTATTTTTAACTCTGAAATGAGTAATTAATTTGGGTTTATAGCTTGAAGTTGCTGCTGTTTGTCCCTTGTGTTTATATCACAGAACAATGCAAGTATAGGAATCAAATGTTTGTAGAGTAGCTCTTCATAGAATATATACACAAAACTGTGCTGGATACTCGAGTGTCATCTCTTGTCACTCTGATGTCCTTCATGAAATAAAGCATTATTTCATAGAAATATCTAATATTGATGTAAAGTGAACAGGAAGAAGAGAATTCCTGGCTTTCCATGGTAGCTTGTTTCAGCATCTCAGTTTTTATTCCATTTTAAAATAAGTGGTCTGTTTCCAGTTCCTGTATGTTTTACAGCTGTTTCTTGCCACTGCTTCTTGTTAGAAATTTCAGGTGAATTGGGAATTTGAAATCTCTGTTGTTATCAACTCTTGTAGAACTGGGAGAAAATGTATCTGCTTCTATTAACTGCAACTTCTTTTTGATATTTAACATTTTCCTTGAAAAATAATACTCAAGATAAGAATATGGAAGTGTTTGCTGCTGGATGTTGATTTAAGGTCTTAGAAGAACTGCCAGACCTGAAGGTGCTTGTCAGCGTTGAATGCGTACATTGTATTTTTCTAGTGCTGCTATGGTACCTTTTCCACGGATCTTGATCTTATTTCTGTGTCTAAGAGGTGGTTCAGTTCTGTGGTAGCAATCATGCATTAGTTAGACAATTCACTGTTTCAGGTTTCTCTTATTTACTTTTCAAGTCTGATTTTCTTTGTAACCGTTACAATAGTAGAGGACAGAAAGATTTCTCCACTCCAATAAATGGTTCTGCTAACACTACCAGAGATGTATTTTATTCTTCAAGGCCAAAGCTTGCATTTATAGCTCTTCGTGCATGCTCTTCAAAGAGCAGTCTTGCTAATCAGTAACTGTGGTGCAATGGAGCAGAAAGTGAGAAGAAAAAGGTTAAAAAAAAAAAAAAAAAAGCAAAATCAGTGCCCTAGCAGTGAGGATAGCAGCAGTGGGGTATTACTGCCATCTGGTGTTCCAAAAAAATAATAGCAATTAAAGAAAAAAAAGCACTAACAATGAACTGCTTTCTATTAAATTTGTTTTTAGCTCAGTTCCAAGATCCTGTTGTGGCTCGAGATGTGGCAGTTCTTGCTGCTGCAGTTGGAGGGGGCACACTGCATTCTGGCCCATCGTTCGGAGGCACTCATGCGGTTAGTCAATCAGAGTAAACGTGTAATGTAATTTACTCCTTGAGATGTGTTTTAAAGATGTTGTACAAAAAGGAAAAACATGTTATTTTTGTAGCCTTGAATTAGGCATTTGATAATTTTAACTTGTATTCTCAGCATGCTCACCAGTTGGTAGGAATCTTATACAATCATCTGATAATTCAGGTTATAAGGGACCTAGGGAGGTCCCTGTCTCAACCTCCTGATCAAAGCAGGGACATCTGTGGAATCAGACAAGGTTGCTCAGAGCCTTATTATGTAGAATCTTGAAAAATTCCAAACATGGAAGAGAGAGTATCAGAAGCCTCACCAAAATCAAGGAGACCCACTGCTTTTCTCTGATCCAATGATCCTGTTATTTCGGTAGTAGATAAAAAAAAAACAATGTTTAACAATTACTGTTTATAGATATAGAACATTATTTGTGCATACAGTGTGTATATGTATGTGTAAATGTATTTTAAATATACCTATAGCTAGTATATAATGAAAAATAGTATAAGGAATAGGCTTCTTAGGTTTTTGTCTTTTATTTTCTTGATGTGTGTTTTAATTCAAAGTTTTGGAAGAAGTAAAATGTTCACATCTCATCCTTCAGAATTTGAAAGTAAGAACCCTCGGTCTCTATTCTATGGCTGCAGAGCTTCAAAATTAAGGAATACCATTTTCTAGGAAATTTGATATATGTTTAATCATAAAAGTAGAATTAATCTCTCCAGTCATTCTCCTGTATTCAGAAGTTGCAGTCTTGAAAGTACTTGGAACGTTCCTGAGTTTTACATCTATATTCCTCTGAGATCTACAGTTCTACTGAAGTGGGTCTGTGATGAGAAATAGCCAAATCTGAGCACCAGGAGATAAATAATCTTCCAGGTGTTGTGATTTGTAGGTAGTTCTGAGAGGCTTCTTATATGTCTGTGTGTGTGTGGTGTGTGTGTGTGTGCTGGGGGAGGAGGGAGGGCTGCTGGAGGGAATTGTGTCTGGGAGACTGGATGTGAATGTCGTGTACTGAGCAATGATGATTTTCATTTGCCTGACTGCAAAGAAATGAAGGCTTCTACACTTGAACTGAGCTCAGAATAAAATCTGTGATTGTAGTTTTGATTATGAGGGTCTGAATACATGGTAACCTATATGTTGCTTCCTCCTAGGAAGTACTTTCTAAGGTAGAGCCCATGGATGTAGGTTCAGAGGCTTCCATGCAAGCAATACCCTGTGATTTATCTTCAACTATTTCCACTGGAAGCTTTTTGACTACTGAAACACTGGATGTCAGCCCTGTTGACACTGGTAAGTGTTTCATTGTTCTCATAAATGGAAAACTTTATCACCTGCAAACATTTGAGGTGGATTTGGAAGTGATGATATAGTGTCCTGTGAGTTTACTTAGTTAAGGCTTAATGTTTTCCTAATCTGAGTCGTATCTGATCTCAGATAAACCCATATGTGTATATCAGTTACTTGGTGCTTATAAATCAATTTTTGAAGATTATTTTTGAAGAAATTTTTTTAAAAGTAACATTAAGGTTTTGGTTACTCCGATACATGAATACATTTTTCAAGTCTGGCTGTGCTTCCTCAGTGTGCTTCCATACACTCAGTGATTATTAAGATCTTTTCTGATTGCTTCTGTAAGAGGAGAGAGATGAAGAGGGACTGGTGTGCTAACCAGGAACCCACTTGTGGTTTCCGCAATTCCTTTAATTTTGTTGCATTTATATTAGGTTGTTTCTATTTAAACAGGAATAAAACTATTGCCCTATGTCATAAAGATGCTCAAGGTTACATTAAAGGATTGACACCAAGCTGTGTGGTGTGATTGACACACCTGAGGGATGAAATTGCATTCAGAAAGACCTAGAGGAGGCTTGAGCAGTGGGCCCAGGTGAACCTCATGATGCAAATCCAAATGCAAGATCTTGCACCTGGCTTGTGGCAACCCCCACTATCAGTGCAAGCTGGGAGACAAAAGGACAGGGCACAGCCCTGCTGGGAAGGACTTTGGAGCACTGGTGGATGGGAAGCTGGACACGAGCCAGCAGTGTGCCTTCAGCCTAGAGAACCAACCATATCCTGAGCTGCATCCGAAGAAATGTGGCCAGCAGGGCCAGGGAGGTGATCCTGCCCCTCTGCTCTGTGCTGTGAGGCATCACCTGGAGCACTGCGTCCAGATGTGGAGTCCTCAGTACAGCAGGGACATGGAGCTGTTGAAGCACATCCAGAGGAGGGCCACAAAAATGCTCCAAGGGATGGAACACCTCTCCTATGAGGACAGGCTGAGAGAGCTGGGGCTGTGCAGCCTGGAGAAGAGAAGGCTGTGGGGAGACCTTGCAGTATCTATAGGGGGGCTGTAAAAAAGAAGGGGCAGGCTCTTCAGCAGGGTCTGTTGTGACAGGACAAGGGAAAATGATTTCAAACTAATGAAGAGGAGATTTAGGCTGGATATAAGGAGGAAGTATTTTACACTAAGGGTGGTGAGGCATTGGAACAGGCTGCCCAGAGTGGTAGTGGATGCCCCATCCTTGGAGACACACAAGGTCATAGAATCATAGAATCACAAGTTTGGAAACGACCTGTAAGATCATCTGGTCCAGCCGTCCTCCCATCACCATTGGTACCACAAACTAAACCACATCTTGTAGCTCCTCGTCCAGATGCCTCTTGAACGCTGCCAGGGACAGCAACTCCACCACCTCCCTGGGCAGCCATTGCAGTGCCTGACAACTCTCTGAGAGAAAAAGTTTTTCCTCATGTCTAATCTAAACCTCCTCTGGTACAACTTGTGGCCATTTCCTCAGGTCCTGTTTGTTGCCTGGGAGAAGAGGCCAAACCCCTTCCCATCACAACCTCCCTTCAGGAAGTTGTAGAGTGCAGTGAGGTTTCTGAGCCTCCTCTTCTCCAGACTGAACAATCCCAGCTCCTTCAGCTGCTCCTCATAAGATTTGTGCTCCAGACCCCTCACCAGTTTTGTTGCCCTTCTTTGGACACGTTCCAGGGCCTCAATGTCTTTTTTGTAGTGAGGGACCCAAAACTCAACACAGTACTTGAGGTGTGGCCTCACCAGTGCTGAGTACAGAGGGATGATTTCCTCCCTGCTCGGTCAAGCTGGATGGGGCTGTGAGCACCTGAGCTGTAGGTGTCCCAGTTCATGGAAGTGAGTTTGGACTGGATGACCTTTGGGAATCCCTTCCAACTCAAATGATTTTATGACACTTCTATCTGCAATGGATGTAAAAAAAAAAAAAAAAA